GAAACTTCATCGCGCTGAATCCGTCGCGCAAAGATTGTGAAAAAAGACTTTGCGCGACCAAGTTTTTTAATTGGTCGCGAAAAACTGAACGACGGTTAACCTTCGTCACAGAAAAAGTTTAGGGACGACACAATTGTTCATCTCTCAAACCTTTGCGCGACGACATCACGTTCGTTACAGGTACACAGTGCGATGGTTTATATTCATCGCACAAAAATGTAGGGACGAGAGAACTCTTCGTGTCGCAAACATTTGCGCGACGACTTATGTTGCGTGACGAAATTGTCTTAGTCGCTTTTTTCTTTTTCGTGAGACGAAGACTTTTGTTGCGCAAAAATAAAATATATATTTTTTAAATTTAGTTTTACGTTTTTGTATTTTGTAAAAACGTGAATTGGCGCGATGAAAAGAGTTTCGACACGCAAAAATAAAATATATTTTATTTAATTTTAATTTTATGTCTTTTTAAATTTTGTATTTAAAAAAATTGGTTTATTTTTTTTTTTTGTAATAAAATGAAATTGCAATTAAAAAAAATAGATTATTATAAATAAACCCAATCCTAGACATGTATTTATAAAAAAACCCACACACTATTTAAACATATAAACACACCCACAATCAACCCCAAAGCCAACAATTGTATATTTTTTGGGTGTGTTTATAAATGGGTTTTGAATGTGTGTAATGATGGGTTTTGGGTGTGTTTATAAAGTGTTTTGGGTGTTGGGTTTTTTTATAATTTCAGCCCCCATTTTGGGTGTTTTAGTGAAACTCCCTAAAAAAAAATGTAATGAAGAGAAATTTTTTTAGTATAAAATAATATAAATGTATAGTACAAGAGAAATGTTTAAAATGTAATTAAGAAAGTAAAAAACTAATCAAACAATGTTCCAAAATCTACTTGGTCGTCTGGCAAATGCGGCTCGGAGGTCTGGACATTGTCGATAGGGGCAGAGGTGTGGTGGCCATGCTCGGGTTGGAGGGGCTCGGAGATCGATGAGGGACCAAAATGTGGAATTGGAATGCCGGACCAAGCAAGGGACTCTAGAAGCTGTGACATCTGACCCTTAAGCTCGGCCACCTCTACTGTCAAAGCCGTCACCTGACTGTTTGATTGCGACAATGAACAGGGTCTAGGTTCCCGCCGCCGGGCATTCCCCATCCCTCGACAATATGTCCTTGGCCTCCCCTCCAGAGTCTGATCCAAGTTCTTAGAACTTCTATCTGTTCATCTTTTCTCTTTTGTCTTGAAGGTATGTCTAATAGATTACACTGAAATTTATCACTTTCAACTGCAGGTTAGTTTAGATGCAATGTTTGATGTGCACACAAAGCGAATACACGAGTACAAAAGGCAGCTGCTTAATATACTTGGCATTATCCATCGATATGACTGTATTGAGGTGAATCTGATTTTATATGGTGAAAAACTTTGCATTCCATATTTTTATAACTTATTAACAAAGAACTACCTTATACCTTCTAAAGATGGTATAGTTCAGACCAAACAGTTTCCTGATTATCAAGGTTATTTTACTTGTCTTCATGCTATTCCTGAATTAGATGAGCCTTCTAGTTTTAAGGTGGCTTCTTTTTCTTCTGAGTGGAGACAAGCAATGAAAGAGGAGATTGATTCTCTTCATATGCAAGGCACATGGCTCTTAGTTCCTAATCTAGGTGATAAAAATATTATTGGAAGTAAGTGGGTCTACAAAATAAAGAGAAATCCAGATGGTACAGTAGGGAGGTATAAGGCCAGACTTGTTGCTCAGGGGTTCAGCCAAGAGCCTGGTTTTGATTTTGGGGAAACCTTTAGTCCAGTTGTTAGACATACAACTGTGAGGTTAGTGTTAAGCATAGCTGCTATGAACCAGTGGAAACTACGACAACTTGATGTCAAGAACGCCTTTCTACATGGCGATCTTGAAGAAGAGGTTTTTATGAAACAACCTCATGGATTTGAAGATTCTTCTCATCCAAAGTTTGTTTGCAAACTGAAAAAATCTTTGTACGGTCTTAAACAAGCTCCGAGGGCTTGGAATGCCAAATTCACAGGTTACCGACCTGCTCTTGGTTTTAAATCTTCACATTCTGATCCAAGTCTGTTTGTGCAGCATACTGGGAATGACATTATCATTTTACTACTATATGTTGATGAAATCATTATAACAGGTTCTAGTGATCAGTTGATTCAAAAAGTGGTTACAGACTTAAGTGAGGTGTTTGAAATGAAAGATATGGGGCAACTCACCTTTTTCTTGGGTCTGCAGATTTCCTATAGTTCCTCTGGTGACATATTCGTGAGTCAAACTAAGTATGCCAAAGATTTACTACATAAAGCCGGCATGAGTTCATGTAAGGCCTGTGCAACACCTTGTAAGCCACACACTCAAGTGTTACAGACTGAAGGTGAGCCCTTGGCAGATCCTACTATGTTTCGCAGTTTAGTAGGTGCTCTACAGTATCTAACATTTACAAGACCTGATCTAGCCTATGCTGTGAATCATGTGTGTCAATATATGAATAATCCTACTGAGGTTCACTATTTTTTGGTGAAGTGTATTCTCATATATGTACAAGGTACATTGGAGTAGCTTTACAAAAGGTCCTTGGCAGCTTAATGCATACAGTGATGCAGACTGGGCAGGGGATATCAACACTAGAAGGTCTACAACCGGATGTGTAGTATTCTTGGGTAGTAATCCCATCTCCTGGCAGTCCAAGAAGCAAGGTTCTGTATCTAGGAGTTCAACAGAGGCAGAATACAGGGCCCTAGCAAACACTGCTGCTGACTTGGCATGGATTCAACAAGTTCTCTTGGATTTGAAGATGTTTCTGCCTGATGCTCCTATTATGTACTGTGACAACTTATCAGCTCTGGCTTTAAGTTCAAACCCAGTATACCATTCTCGTATTAAGCATTTGGATATTGACTTTCACTTTGTGAGAGAGAAGGTACAAAGAAAGGATCTTATTGTGCAGTATATACCTACTGAAGAACAGATAGCAGATGTATTTACAAAGGGGTTACACAATCCCATTTTCTGACAACACTGTCTTCATCTGAGACTGAGGAGCTCAACTGGGTAGGGAAAATGTTAACCATGAGTCTGTTAGTTCATCATGTGCAGCTCATGTGCTCTCTGTTAAATCTGTTAGTGAGAGTAGCTGTATTTGTTAAGTCTGTTAGAGTGATATTAGGAGAAAAGCATTGTATTAAAGTGTGTGTTTACCATTCGATGATATCATAATCTGAAATACATAATTACCAGGATATATTCTCTCTTACATTCCCTCTTCCTTATTCTCTTGAAATCCCTAAATCTCATCCCCTTCTTCTTGGTTAAGAGGTTGGTCTCGGCATTCTCAAGAACATCAGTGATAATGGCAGCTGCATGACCAAGTGGCTCCTCAGCAGCCCTCTTCAACATGAAGGCCTGAACACCACATGAGATAATATGAAAAAAGTAGAGAAATATTTAGCTATAAACTTGATTGTCATTGGAAGAGAATCTATAGGAACTGCTGCAAGTAAAGCCTAAATTTGATGAAACTAATCAACACCCTTTTGTCCAGAGAGAGAGAGAGAGAGAGAGCTGGCCGTGGTGGGATATATAGCCAATGTACAAGGTTGCTGAAACCAAGGCTTCCCATCAACGTGAAGACAGCCAAAGCTCAAACAATATGGTGATGATTTCTGAATAAGCAACTAAATTGTTGTGTCTTTATGGTTAAAATCTTTTCATACTCACCTTAGGGACCTCTATCTCAACACCATCTACTTCAACTCCAACTTGCCAAGGAAAATTCACAAAGAGAAGAACATCACCATTTGGTTTTTGAAACTGATTTTTCCTTAAATATTCTTAGAGAGAGAGAGAGAGAGAGAGAGAGAGAGGCCTACCTTTGCATGCTTCTCTCTTTATCTCTTCGTGGGGGAAGAAGAAAACAAAGCCCCAAGGGCGGAAGCTTTTCGTTCTTTATGCATTCTAGGAGGAATAGGAAAGAAGATAAAAGCCCAACTTTGGAGGCTTAGTTAACGTTAGGAGGAAAGCCCTCTTTTTTCATCCTTTTTGAGCGGATGAGGGAGAAGGCCTCAACAAATAATGTACTGTAGTTCCATAGAAATTTTTCAGCCTTGGGGCAAGTCATACGGCCCATGAAACACTAATACTCAGCCGACCTGCTGAAAGCAACAATCGTAAAAAGGTCCAGATGCAAATAATCTTAAGGGGCTCTACGAATTGTACAAGGACGGTACATTACTCAATCTTACAAATGATGAGGAGTGGAAAGCATTTGAAGTTGCTCCTCACTCATGCACAGAACGTCCTCCTACACCACACTGCCATTGATGTCAAGCAATACAAGGTCAAGAGAATCAACGAGCCTAATGACACCAGACTCGAACTCCTCATAAATACGTTCAAGACCTGGAGTGACCTGATTTCCACCGCGGCCCAGCCAACAGCAGTCATCCGGGATTTTGGATTTAACTTCCACCTATAATGTTGAATTTCACTAAGCGAGTATATTTTTAGATTTCATAGAAACACAAAAGAGTGATTAGACAAGTAGCCAGCCAATTATGTTTCTCATTCTATATGGAACCAACCAACAATACAAAAAGCATAATTGGCTCCACCTAGCCCAATCTTTTTTATTTTGTTTTATTGTAGTTCAAATGAACGGCACAGATTTTTTCAAACGACAAATCTGACCCTCCAAATCAAATGGGACGAGTTATTCTTGGGTTGGGACAATATTTTTAATACAAAATCAGTAGGCAATTATTCAATCTTCCTTTGAATCCCACGGACTAGCCTTCCTCCACTCCAAAGTTTTTAAAAATGTTTATAAAAATGCTTTTTAGCCTTTCTCCATCCAAAAATGCATTATTTAGCTACATATATCCAAGACTAGATAAATGACTTGACAAAGGGTCCACTGGACCCCGACAGATGGTTGGTTGGCAAGCTTTTTACCCTCAAGTTTTACCATCCTCTACCTCCGATCAAAACTCTCTCTCTCTCTCTCTCTCTCTCTCTCTCTTTCAAGCACAAAATTGGGGGTGTGTCAAGTCCACGGAACTCTCTTCTCAAACAGAATTACAGCACAAAGCCCCAAGGGCAACCTAAGGCAAGAGCATCCCAAGACGCTGCTGTAGCAGCAGCAGCCGGTAAACTACCAACCCAGATTATGTTTTCTTGTTGGGAAAAAAGCTCTTGTTTAATTTGTTGACCTCGTTCGAATTCTTTTTTTTTCTTTCTGCAAATCTAATTTAATTTAGTTTTCGACAATAAATCTTTACCTATTTTCAATTTGTTTATTTTGCATCACTGTGTGTACTAGCTGTTGAAGAATAAAGTCTCACATCGGAAACTTGACAAAATAAAATACAAGATATAATGAATGGTTCCACTACTAATATCATCGAGGCCTTTTGTGATAAAACCACACACCTACTGGGCTTTGTAGGTGGTTAAGTTGGGGACAATATCGGTGTTTTTAGTAGTGGGCCACTGATCCGTCTTTCTGAATTTAACATGGTATCAGAGCGGGTTGATTGACTGGGCTTGAATTGGGCCTTTACCCTTACCCAATATGCGGTGTTCACATGTTGGGCTTGAATGCTTACCTTTACCCAATACGTGGTGCTTACGTGTTGGGCTTGAATATTTGAATCCGATGTGGACTTGGCTTCACGTGTGACCCACTATGTGGTGGTCCCACGTGAGGGGGCGTGTTAAAGAATAAAGTCTCACATCGGAAACTTGATAAAATAAAATACAATATATAATGAATGGTTCCACTACTAATATCACCGAGGCCTTTTGTGATAAAACCCCACACCTACTGGGCTTTGTAGGTGGTTAAGTTGGGCACAATATCGGTGTTGTTAATAGTGGGCCACTGATCCGTCTCTCTGAATTTAACACTAGCATCTGTTACATATGTTTTAATGTTTATATGAAATTCTTTTGCTTTAATTGTTTACATTTCTTGCTAAAAGGAAAGGAAGTGAGGAATATTGATGTCGTGTTTCCTTGCAGATGAAGACCATCGTATCAAAAAAGAAAAGAAAAGAAAAAAGGCTTGGTATTGTGTTATGTTAACAAAAATTTGGAATGGGAGGAATCGGTAAAAAGAGGTATAAATTTTTACATCTCTTGTTTGTTGGTTTGTGATATTACACTTTTGGAATGAGTTTTTATCCAAGTTAGCCTAAATTATGTTCTTAATTTCTTAGTTGTTAGATTTTAGAATGAGTTTTTATCTCAATGATATTACCTTAATGAATTCAATCCGGCTTGATCCAATTAGTAGCAGAGTTCATATAAATACTAAGACAATGGAATAAGATTGTTGACTTAATTTTCTGGTGGGAACTGCAATCTACCATAGGCTAATTACATCATTTTATATTTCTTGAGTTGTAGGTGTTGTGCTACAAATTTCAAGTGGAACCAAGTATTATTCTACTAAGATTTATGATCCAATCTTAGATTGTGGTTAAGTAAAGCTAGCTATCTACACACATGCTCATGAGTCATAACTGCTTCAATCTGCATTATGTACAAATTTTTTTTTTAATGTCATTTTCAATACTTCTTGCAATGCTATGAAATTTGTTACTCGCTTTGCTATTTGTGAAATATAAGGGTTTACAAATTCTAATAATCTTATAATGCTATTTTGTTAAATTGCAAGATGTTTTGCGACGCATCACCACCCTACAAGATTTGGAAACAAAAATGGTTCACAACACAAGGCTTGAGACCAAGTGTATTGAAAATATCAGGTGAAAATGTTAACAAAGCATCTATACATTTTCAAATTGCTATACCTCTTATTAGACTTATTTCATTTTTCTCCTGTCAGTATGCATATGATAATTGTTTTCATAACATTAACATGTTTCCTTAACCATGTTTTAGGAGTTCTGTTATATGTAGAGCAAACATTACACATTTTGATACACGTAATGGATGGTGGTACAAAGCGTGTCCATCTTGCTACAAACAACTAAGGACCATTTCCCACACTGATCGGCTGGTCTGTCCAAAGCACAACACAAAAGATCAAGCCCCTTTTCCTTGGTAATACAAATACTAACAATTACTTTCATCTAATTTTTTCATAAAGTTTGAGCACAGCTATACTTGATATTACAACATCACATAAATTTCAAATCCAGGTTTAGCGTGGGATTGATTCTTGAAGACGCAAGCGATGAGACCAATGCCATGATCATAGTCAAAGCAGCACAGCATCTATTAGGGATTTCTTACTGTCATTTGGTTGTTGAAAAGGGTTTTACCAGCCAAGAAGAATTCCCAGATGCAATTCTTCGAGTCAGAGGCCAGTATAAATTATATGAAAGTAATTGTATTATTAAGGGAGAGGGGCTTGATCTTTTGTGTTGTGCTTTGGACAAACCAGCCGATCAGTGTGGGGAATGGTTTTTAGTGGTTTGTAACAAGATGGACATGCTTTGTACCACCATCCATTACGCGTATCAAAATGTGTAATGGTTGTTCTACATATAACAGAAGTATCCTAGAACATGTTTAAGGAAACTGGTTAATATTATGAAAATAATTATCAAATGTAAACAATGAAATAAGTCTTGGCTCTAATAAACTAGCTTACCACATTTTTTTGTTCTGTTCCTTATTAAAGTTTGAGTCTTTTGGTTTGATTTTGCAATGAATATTTAGTAATTTGTCAAGCTTCTTCTGAGTATGTTATCAATTGATTGCATACACTGAGGTTATAGTTTTGTGCATTAGATTAATAGAATACTTAATGCATTCAAATTGTGGTTTGTGTTGTTAATACAAATCCACATGCATCAGATGTTTTAAATGTAATGAACAAAACTATAACCTATAGCCTGTTATTTCTGTCTTTATTCGGCTTCTATAACCTATAGGTGTTTATAGGTTATTTATGCTTTTATAGCTTACTTCTCCATTAGATTAACTTAGCCTATAAATGGCAATACATGTATCAGTTTTGACCATAGGTGTATAGATTATCTCTGCTTCTGTACAACAAACTTGCTCATGGTTTGATTCTGTTATGGGTGTTTGATTCTATTAAAGTCTGGGTCTTTTGGTTTCATTCTGTTATAGGTATTTAATAGTTTGTGGCATTTGTCCACCAGATTCGTAGAATGCTTGGCATATTTAAACTATGTTTTGTGCAGTTTATTTTTTGGCCTTAATTCTGTAATAACAGCCATTGTCTTCACTAAAATTTTCCCATTTGTCTACACTAACACCTACCATTTTCCAAATTTGTAGCAACAAAATCAACACCCATTGATTTGATTCTATTAAAGCTGGGGTGTTTTGGCTTAATTCTCTTATAACTATTTAATAAATTGTCACAATTGTTCCAAGTTTGTTATCAATTGATTAAATAGACTGATGTTATACTTTTGTCCATCAGATTAATAGAATGCTATTATCAATGGAAAACCATGTTTCACAAGTTGATGGTAAGATTCAACAGAGAATTTGTAGTACTTCACACAAGAGTTTATATATGGGCAAAATTGAGGGGATTCTTTAGCATCATGAATCATGTTTGTTTACAAGAATTACAGAAATAAAATTTGAGTATGAAATTAAATTACTTTGCAAACTATGTAACAGTTTTTTGACAGAAACTAGAATTTAAAATCAAAATGGAGGAGGGGAACCATAATTGAAATCCCCTTGGGTGCTGGATATCTTGATTAGCATAGCTAACACCTCCTTCATGTTTGGTCTTGACTGTGGTGCCTCAGCTGTGCACTTTATGCCAACCTTAAGCAGCTCACACATCTCCTCTGCCCCATCAACAAGCCCAGACCCCATAAGCATAACGGGTATCACAGATCTATTGAATCCGAGCCGTCCATTTCCCATTACCCTTCTTGCCCATTCTACAAGGCACTCCTCTCCTCCATCCACTGCCCTCCTCCCAGTTGCCAACTCCATTGCCAGCACTCCATAACTGTACACATCCCCTTTTGTTGTGGCTTGCCATGTCTGCCCATATTCTGGTGCAACATAACCAACTGTCCCTGCCACCATTGTGCTCACATGACTATCCCCTGCATCCACTATTCTTGCCAACCCAAAATCTGTAACTCTAGCCTTCCCATCCTTATCCAGCAGCACATTGCTAGCCTTCACGTCCCGGTGCACGATTGCAGGGAAGCACTCGTGGTGTAGAAACACCAAGGCTCGAGCCACATCAACAGCCACATCAACGCGTCTGCACCATGTTAGTCTTACTCTATCGGACACAAGATCCTCCAAGCTCCCACCTTCCATGTACTCATAGACTAGTATTTTTTCTGATCCATAAAGGCACCAGCCATGAAGAGTTACAAGGTTTGGGTGAGGCCAGCCAAAGCCATTTCCACTAAGAACCTCCATTTCAGCTCTGAATTCTCTTTCACCTTCAAGCCCTTCTCTTTGAAGCTTCTTCACGGCTACTACTCTCCCATCAGGCAGTACTCCTTGGTACACTGTCCCAAACCCTCCTTTCCCTAATATCCTCTCTTCAGAAAAATTGCACGTAGCTTTCAAAATGTCAGCATGTGTAAATGCTGTTTTGTCCAAACGAATGACCTTGACGGTATCTGATAGCCATGGTGATGAACCGGTGGAACTTGAGGCCAAGTCATGCTGGTATTTGACGTCCTGCAACAGATATCCTGGTTGCTCTGCAGGGATCTTCCCAAATAAGCAGACTACAAGTGACAAAACTCCACATATCAAGACAGCAAGTAGTAGAGCCAAGACCACCATATATGCAGCAAACTTTGTAGGCTTTTTTAGGTTCACATTTGATTTCTTTGCTCTTCCATCTGTGGGGTTGTCAATGAATGGTGGAAGTTGCAGGAGGGGGTCACCAAGGTAAGAGTCTTTCTCAAATGTTGCCAATTGCCCACTTGAAGGAATTACACCAGATATGAGTGGATTGTATGAAATGTTGAACTTGCTTAGCTCAGTCAAGCTGTTTAAGCTCACAGGGAAGGTGCCAGAAAAATTGTTGTAGGACATATCAAGATTCTGCATGCACTTAATATTCCCAATTTGCGTTGGGATTTGGCCTGAAAAATTGTTCGTACTGATGTTGAACACTACAAGTGGCAACTGACCAATCTTTGCAGGCAGTTCTCCATTCAATTTATTGAAACCCAAGTTTATCATACTAAAATTTTGCATCTTACCAATATCAGGAGGTAGCTGACCTGAAAGCTGATTCCCACTCAGTTGAAGATAACCAGAGATTTGAAGTGTTCTTACTACAGAACCAGCAGCACATATGGGAAAGAGGCCATTTCCTTTAAGTAGCCGATCCCATATGCTTCGACAACTCTTTCTAGTGAGGATTGTATACACAAAACTGAATGGAGGGTAATCTGCAGGAATCCATCTCTTCATTGCTAAGCACTCCCCTGATCCAGCTATGATCTGGTCACTGTCCAGATTATTTGTTTCAAATGTTGGCTTAACATTTTTCCCAATCTTTGTCAATTCAGATGGGATTGGACCAGAGAGCAGGTTGTTGGCAAGATTAAGCCACAACAAGCTAGTACAATTTCCTAACTCCTGTGGAATTGGACCAGTTAGCAAATTGTTTGCAAGCATCAACCACAACAGAGAGCTCAAGTTTCCTAGGGTGCTGGGAATTGCACCAGTTAGGGTGTTGAAGGAAAGGTCTAGTGCTTGGAGGGACGGAATGTTTCCATACTCTGGTGGTATAGTTCCATTGAATTGATTGTAGGCAAGGATCAAGAACTTCAATTTTGGCATTTGAGCAATTTCAACTGGTAAAGGACCTGTAAAGTTGTTGTGGCTGAGGTCTAACCTTGAAACATTAAGAAGCTTGAGAATTCCAGACGAATATATACCGCCGGTGTATGAATTTGAGTGCAATACAAGAAACTTCACCTGTCTGAATCTCCCAAAAATATCTTGTATATCCCCTCCAAAATTGTTCCTACTCAAGTCCAAGAAGGTCAAGTTGTTCAAATCCAAAAGGGTTTCTGGGATCACCCTATAGAAACTGTTGTTGCCCAAGAACAAAGCTTGCAGACTCGAAATCCTTCCAATCTCAGACGGAATTGATCCTGTAAAATTATTTCCCCAGAGATTCAATATGACCAACCTCTGGCATTTTGAAATCTCTGCTGGAACAACACCAGAAATACCATTTTCTGACAGGTCCAAAACTACCAAGCTACAGTTATTTGTGAAAATGGACGGCAAAATAGCCCCACTAAGATAGTTTTCAGCTACTGAAAATTCCCTAAGCTTGGTGAATCCATTCCATATCTCTCCACTAAAATAGTTTGCGCTCAAATCCAAGTACTGCAATTTCAAGCAGGCATCAAAGCTGTGATCAATCCTACCAGTAAAGTTATTTTCTGAAATATTAGCAACCACCAGATTATTGCAAATTCCAGGAAAGCTCATCTGCAAATCCCCATTAAACCTATTGACAGCCAAATCAAGAACCTCCAACTGATTCAATCCATTTAAGTTGAGCTCACTGTCAATAATGTTATGTGATAAATTGAGGTATTTGAGGCTGTGGCATTTACTGAGGTCCTCTGGGAGAGCTCCGCTTAGAGTGTTTTTCGAGAGGTCGAGGTGTGAAAGTGCTGTGAGTGCCGAGAAGTTTGGGAAAATCTCACCAGTGATTTCGTTATCGGAGAGCTCAACGACACTGACTCTCGTGTCATTGTTGCATGTAACTCCATGCCACTGGCAGGGGTTGTTGCTGTGCTGGTTCCATTGTGAGTATTGACCCTGATTTACTGGGTTACGTTGTTGCAGAAATGCTTTAAGGCGTAGCAGAACTTCTCTGTCTGTGTCTAGAGAATCTCCGGCAACAACAGAAGCTTCTGTCAAAGACAAAAACAACAAAGTTGTACTTGTTATTATAAACAGAACAGAATCCTCGAAAAACTAACCCATGATTGCCTGCACATATTTGCAGCTGTAAAGAATCATCATCGGGAAACGATCACATGGGTTTAAATTAAAAACAGAAAATAAAACTGCCCATATAAAAAAATCTCAAAAATCTCAACATGTACCTGCTGTGATCAAGACAAGGAGGGCTAAGAATATGGAAGACAATATGAGCCATGAATTAGTCTCCTTGTTTGAGCAGTGCATGATCTTCTGGCCTCTCGGATTTTTGTTTGCAAAAACTTTGGTGTTCATCAATTGCTAGAGTCGCATGAACAATTTTCTCATAAAAACAAGAAAAAAAAATTAAAGAATTATAATTTACAGGTTATGAATGTGCGTGTGGAAGTTGAACGTGTTGGAATGTCTTTGAAGACAGAGCCTGCATATTTACACGAAACCAGACCTTGGAACAACGAATTTTTCTTCCTTTTTTAATTAAATTGAAGTGATTTAATATTAGAGAATTGATTATTGGTTGAAAATGTTAACGATGTTGGTTAATTGCGTTGATTAGTGAAAACTCTACTATTACTAATACAAGAATTGCTTGCTGGGAATGAGGTAAGGGGCCGTTGAGCCGCCCATGTTGACCGGTTCATTTAAACCGGCTTGGCATTTGACTCAGGACTCAGGACTCAGGACTCAGGACCCAG